GACCTGAGCCGAAGGCAGATGCTTAACCGACTGAGCCACCCAGGCGCCCCCTCATTGTTAACTTTAAATGTATTTTGGTTTTCATCATCAAAACAAAATGGGGCCCTACTGAGTGCGGTGCCTAATGTGGGGCAGGGCTCGATCTCCTGACCTGAGCAGAAACCAAGAGTCCAGTACTGGGTGCTTAACCGACTGAGCCACCCAGGCACCTCATAAGGATTTTTTTTTTTTTTTTGGACAGTTGTTGAATTCAGTGAAGATAATCTTAAGGTATAGAATAATATGTGAAGTAGAATGTTTCTTTTTTAACCATCTTGCTTACTTTTTATTTATTTTAAAGATTTTTATTTATTGAGAGAGAGAATGATAGCATGAGAGGGAGGAGGGTCAGAGGGAGAAGCAGACTCCCTGCTGAGCAGGGAGCCCGATGTGGGACCCGATCCCGGGACTCCAGGATCATAACCTGAGCCGAAGGCAGTCGCTTAACCAACTGAGCCACCCAGGCGCCCTTATTTGCTTTTTAGAAAACAAATTTTAGGGGCGTCTGGGTGGCTCAGTCATTAAGCGTCTGCCTTCGGCTCAGGTCATGATCTCAGGGTCCCGGGATCAAGCCCCACATCGGGCTCCCTGCTCGGCGGGAAGCCTGCTTCTCCCTCTCCTACTCCCCCTGCTTGTGTTCCCTCTCTCGCTGTGTCTCTCTCTATCAAATAAATAAAAAAAAAATCCTTAAAATAAATAAATAACAGAAATTTGAACTAGTTGCATTATAGTCTCTAATGACCTGGTGTCTCAGAACACCTTCATAAAATTCTTGGGGGTGGCCAGCTACAGATTAGAAATCTACATGCTCATTATTTAAAAATTTTTTTAAAATTTTAAATGCTCATTATTATTTAAAATTTTTCTTAGTTTGTTAGTACATTAGAACCAGTTTTCATATGAAAGTATGTGTGTGGACTTTTATTCGCTGTCTAATGTCAGAATTGACAGGAAGTTGTTGCCTTGCAAAGTCAGTCTGTAGAGGCAGAGGGCCACCAGTCTTCTATACCTGCTGTTGAAGGCTTGGAATCTATTTTACTTCTTATTAAAAGTTTTTTTTTTAATTGGCCCTAAAGTGAGTACTTCTGATTTTTTTTTTTTTGGAAGATTTTATTTATTGACAGAGAGAGAGACACAGCGAGAGAGGGAACACAAGCAGGGGGAGTGGGAGAGGGAAAAGCAGGCTTCCTGCTGAGCAGAGAGCCTGATGCGGGGCTTGATCCAGGATCCTGAGATCATGACCTGAGCCGAAGGCAGACGCTTGACCAAATGAGCCACCCAGGTGCCCCAGTACTTCTGATTTAAAAAAAAAAATCTTGGTCTATTTGTACTTAGTAGATGTCAGATGAAATAAATGATCGCTTGACGTTAGCTGCATGAGTGAGTGTCAGGAGTGCCCTCGCCTCCGCGTGAAGTATGGAGCAGAGAGCTCGCTTCAGGCGTCTTGCACGCCAGTAGTCTCAGAGGGGTGGGGATCAAGGGTAGCTCTCAGAAACAGATAAAGGGCTTTTCAGCATGGAGGGCTACTTCTTCCTCTCCACCCTCCCTGCCCAAACTCTGATTGGCCTCTAGGTGAGCATGTGGCTCTCCTTCTTCCTTAAAGTACCAAGAAACATAGCTTTCCAGAGATCATACTAAGTAGAATAGACTGTAGAACAATTTGATTCAGAGGCATTATCTCTGCCTTTTAAAAGACCTGACCTCTTTTCACCAGTAAGCCAGTAAATGCTTATTACTTAATGAGTAATTTCCATTATATTCTCTCAACCATAAGCATTTGTTTCCTGATAATCCCTTTTAATTTTTATTTTAGTTATTTTTATTATAGAAGTCAATGTTTATTATAGACAAATTAAAAAATACAAATTAGCATAAAGAAAATTGAAATCGGGCACCTGGGTGGCTCAGTTAAGTGTCTGCCTTCGGCTCAGGTCATGATCCCAGGGTCCTGGGATTGAGTCCCGCATCGGGCTCCTTGCTCATTGGGAGCCTGCTTCTCCCTCTCCCTCTACCTGCCGATCCCCTTGCTTGTGCTCACGCTCTCTCTCTCTCTCCCTCCATCTCTCATCTTGCACAAGTCTTTTTTTTTTTTTTTTGAAGATACTTATTTATTTGAGAGAAAGAGAGAGCACAAGCAGGGGAAGCAGCAGAGCGAGAGGGAGAAGCAGGCTCCCTGCCAAGCAGGGAGCCCCACATGAGGCTCCATCCCAGGACCCTGAGATAATGACCTGAGCTGAAGGCAGATGCTTAACCAATTGAGCCACCCAGGTGTCTCTGCACTACAGTCTTAATAGCTTGCTCTTTAAATCTGTATCATGTAGCTCTTTCCATGTTAGTTTTGCAGGTTTCTGAACTGATATTGATAATCTGGGCTATTCTGCTTGAGCGTGAACTCCCTGGGAGCTGTGATGTTGCTTCCTGCTTCCTTGTATCAGTGTATAGTACTTAGCACAGCATGTGGTTTATCATATATCTTGGAATGTGTATTGAATGAAAACAGTAATATAATGTGAAGTGATTGGGCATGAGCCAGGACCACCCTCACAGTGGGTTCTGAGCTGACTACCCTGACTACCTGTAGATAACTTTTTTCTTTTCTACTCTTTGTAGGACCTTCTAAATGAAGCAAAACAGAGACTCAGCAAAGTGGTAAAAGATACAACCAGGTACCAGGTGCTGCTGGATGGACTGGTCCTTCAGGTAATTTCTAGGTTAGACCTACCACTGATAGCCACAGTTCTTAAAAAATTGACAAGATGTGTTACAGACCAGCTCTGTTGTTTTTTTTTTTTTTCCCCTATTTTGTCATCTTAGCCTTCTTCCTTGCGCTTGTCCTTGTCATGTGTTGGGGGGACAGTAATATCTGATTGGATAAGACTTCCAGACTTTCCTACCCTTTTATATAGTCTTATTAGTCCTTTAGAACTCAGGGGTCAAATTTGCTTGCGACCTCCAGCTTTAAACTTCCCTAATTTGAGGGGCACCTGGGTGGCACAGTTGGTTAAGTGTCCGACTCTTGATTTTGGCTCAGGTCATGATCTCAGGGTTGTGAGATCGAGCCCCCCGCCAGGTTCTGCACTGGGTGTGGAGCCTGCTTAAGATTCTCTCTCTCCCTCCCTTCTCTGTCTCACTCTCTCCCTCTCTTAAAACAAACAAAAACAAAACTTCCCTAATTTGATTTCATTGCTAAAATACTTGCTTTAGATTTTGGGGTTCAGACCAAAGACAGTATACATTTTAAATGTTTGCTGCTCGCTTGTGAATTCTTATTTTACTTAGATTAATTACAGTAACATTCGGCTTCCACTTGAAGATTTCCATATAAATTTTGTTTCTGCCACCGGAGTATATTTATCTTGTTTGTGAGATCAAAAGCTTCTTTCCATGTTCTCATACTGTGTATTCTTTTTCCAAACTACATGAAAGAATTATAAAAATATTTTATTTTGCTGTTGGATTTTATAAATTGCATTTCCTAATAATTGCATCTGATTATGTCTTACAGGGTTTGTACCAATTGTTAGAGCCCCGAATGATTGTCCGTTGCAGGAAGCAGGATTTCCCTCTGGTAAAGGTAAAGAACTTAAAGAAGAAATCCATTTTCTTTTTTTAAATACATCAAAATGTTAGAGATGAAATGCGTGCTTTAATAGAGGATAGCTCAACCATGGAAATTAGAGGTATCTTAACACATTACAGATAGTAACTTAAGTGTACCTAAGTCTCTAATTTCTTTTCATGAAGAGGTCATAGAGTTAGTACCCTCCTCCCTTTCTGGGAGCTCTGTAACGCCATAATCTTAAAATTCAGCAATGAAAACAGCACATACTGGATTGGAGCAAAGATAGGCCATGCCATCTAAAAGTGACAAACTACTCCCAGACTAGCAAGGCTTGGCTATAACCTAATGTATTCCTGTAGTGGGGAAAGAAAGTGGGTACAAAGAAAGTGAGCTGCAGTCCCAGAGGCAAATGCTAAGGTGTTCCTCCGTGGCCTAAGGGAGAAGTTGCCTGGTCTGGGGCCGGCTGCTGGCGCCACAGGGGGTCCATACGGGCTGTAGCATTAGACGGGTACCCTAGACTGAAGGACCCACAAATCAGAATGAACTCACCGAGCTCCAACTCTCTGTCATCGAGTCGCTCTTCAGGTGAAAATTCTTCCCTGTGGGGCGCCTGGCTGGCTCAGTTAGGAGAGCATGAGACACTTGATCTCAGGGTTGTGAGTTCGAGCCCCGTGTTGGCTGTAGAGAGTACTTAAATAAACAAAACTTTTAAAAAATAATAATAAGGGGTGCCTGGGTGGCTCAGTTGTTAAGCATCTGCCTTTGGCTCAGGTCATGATCCCAGGATGTCGGGCTCCCTGCTCTCCGGGAAGCCTGCTTCTCCCTCTCCCACTCCCCCTGCTCTCTCTCTCTCTCTCTCTGTCACATTAAATAAATAAAATCTTAAAAAATAGACTTCTAC